TGTTCATGAAGGTGGGGCTGGAGGAACGGCATTCTTGATGTAAGAAGTTCACCGTGCTCCTCGAGCAGTCGGTACACACGAGGGAAGCGCCAGTGTTTCTGGCACTGTGGCGCTTCTGCTGTCGTCTTTGCTCTTCCTCTGTGCTGCAGTGAAGCACAAATTAGATGTATGGAGGAAAAAGACGAAAGTTGGCAAAATAAGTGTGTCTTTGTGCAACACACTTGAAAATGTACCAGCCAAGACGAACTGTCCAAGGTTAAGAGACCTCACATGGCCAAAGTCCCGCTGCGCTGGTTTAGTGGCTGAGAACAGCACTATTTAGCAATGCAATGAGATTTCTATGAAAGTCAACAAGTTTGCAGAATGGGTAGGGGAAAATGTCTTTTCACTAGCTTTTCCTTGAAAACTATGAAAAACCTCACAACTTAGTGAACTGGCCAACATCATGTACCGTACTGACTTGGAGTAAAGACAAGCAACTTTGGGATGCCTGTGTACTTCTTGTCCAATTATCTAATTATTGCTGTCCAGCTGTTGCCTAATTTCTGCAGTCTAGTTCATCTTGGACTAATAATAGCAGGGGGTTGAATCTGCATACAATGGGCAACACCCCTGGATTTCTTTGGATTTGGTTCACAGGACTTCCCAAAAAAGGTTGAGCTAAATTTATTAACTATTTGCTTTAAATAATTTGTCAGAGGACAAATAACAAGCAGTTCTTAAGAATTTCAACCTTCATAGCACTGTATGTATTTAGGTCACATACATTTTATGCACTCATTTCCTATTTGAATTTTAAAGGAAGAAGATTGACAAAAAAAAAAAAGCTCATCTGTGAGGATCTAGAGCAAAGGTGATGCTTCAGTCAGGTTAGGCTGGGCTTTGCCCAGCTCCTTCTTCCTTTGGCTATGCATTCATCCCTATATGATTGGAAGGAAGGCAAGAGAGCATCACTCTGCTATATCCTTGGGGAAAAATAGGTGCGCCAAGGGTTCCCTGCTGGCCACAACTTCTCTAGCCTGAAAGCACCCTTGTTTCTTCCCCTCCCAGCTCCTCTGAGAGAAACAGCCAGCTCCCACCATCCACAAGAGTGCTATAAGTGCAGTCCTGTGTGCACCAGGAGGGTCACAGACCAACTAGGCATCCAGAGGACTTCATGGACCCTTTCTGAGCTTCTGGTGGCTTTGCTGTTCCCAGAACCCTCTCTGGTCTAGAGGAGAGCTCAGCTTATTGAAAAGGTTCAATGATGAACTCAACTAATTAATAGGAAGTCAATCATGATGGAAGCAGAAATAATTTCTCCTGAATGAAACATGGTACAAAAGGTCGAACTTAAGTAAACAAAAATTTTGAGGAAGTCTTCCGAGTTACATGGAAAGAGAAGTCTTCATAGAGGGGGTCATTCAAGGGTAGCCTGAGTACAGGAAAAGACTCCAGTGGGTAGGGATGGCCAGGGAGACAGGAAAGATTTCCAAGCAGAGGACTCAACACAACCAGAGCAGTAGCACAGGACACATGTGACAATCACATGCGGTCAGTATTAGTGAAGACGGCACCTTTAAACCCATGTCCATCCCAGAGTCCTGAGACACAGCTTCTGGTGGTCATTGGAGAGTTGCGTGTCATCTTACACGGGGCAGCTGCCTTCCCTTAGCTGAATACATTCTTGCATGGAAGAGCACATGGAGAGACAAATGGGCACTTGGAGACATGCTTCTTGAAAGCTTGTATGCATCTGTTATTAAACAAATCGCCCAAACTACCACCTAGCGGGCTGGGAAGATAGCTCAGTGGTGTAACTGCCTGCCAGGTGCATGGTCACAAGTTAGATCCCCAAGACCCCAAACCAACAAACAAGCAAACAAAAACCCCACCTAAACTTTTGGTAAGAATTAAAACACTTCTTTCACTTCTACTTTATATGTCTTTGTTGCCAATAACAATCTTTACAACTTTTACCTTAAATTTATTAAGGAAACAGCCCCCTCACTACAGAAGTCCAGCGGGAAAATGGTTTCCATTCTACCAGCTCAGCTCATGCTGCATGACAAAGGGACTACCATGAGGAGTTACAGAAGGAGACTAACCCTAATGCTAGGATCTGTGGTGGCCATGGCCTGATTACTTCCCTGACCTTTGCTTGTGCACCACATCACACACCACAGCAATAGAAGCTACACGAGGAAGCTCAAGGCAGATGCCTGCCTGCATGAGAGCATCAGGGCCTGTGATAGAGCAGGACTGGCCAAAACATAGATGATAAGGAAAGGTCGCTAGACAGGGAGAGGGAAAGTGAATGAGAGCAAGCCAGAAAGGCAAACCAGCAAAGGCAGAGATGCTCAAGGTCAAGCAGCAGCAGCAGCAGCAGTGGGCAGCACCTAGGAATTCAGGGATTCCTATGGACCAAAGGAAGCCAGCGAACACTGTGCCTGAGTGTGGGCTGTGAGAAGCCTGCTTTGGACCACAGCCTGGGTATCGGGGGCAACAGCAATGGGAAGAGCCAGGCAGGACAAGTCCAGGGCCCGAGAGAGAGTTGTTGCCAGGAATGGAACCAGGAGCACAGGCCAGATGGGGACTAGACAGGAACAAGTAGGGTCCCTCTTGATAGACATTGGGGTTCATACCCAAGACCAGTGAAGTCACCTCGCACCCTGCACTGATGTGATCCCCTGGTAGTGCAGGTGGTGCAAGCTCTATGCTAGGTTCAGTTTCCTTCGAGACCAACTTTAGAAGGCGCTATCACGGAGCGGAGGCTGGAGTCGAAGGACAAGTTCAACACTCTCACACCAATATCACCATTTGGCTCCTGGAAAATGTTCGCTGAAGGAGAATGTGATTGAATAAGCATCCCTCCTCCCCCCAGGAGACAGAGGGGCTGGCAGCATCCTCAGTTCAACTTAGCTAAGGAAGGGGGTGATTTTTAAATTGGATTCCAGAATAGCCTGGGGCCTTCTATTTCTAGAGGAGTCTGGCATCAGTCATTTTTAACTCTTCCAGGTGATTCCAGCGTGTGGCAACACTGGAGACCTCATGGACTTGGGCCTTGTTCTTCAGTGGTCTGCGGGCCCAGAACCACTGGTAACCTACTGGAAACACAGAATCCTGGGCTTTACCCAGACCAGCGGCCTTGGGACACTGGAATCACAAGACCCTGACGCACTGCCTCTAAAGTTCATGAGCACCCGAGTGCCCAGCAGTGCACCAAAATGGACTTGCTGATTGTAATAATCTCTGAAAATGGGAAGCCCTGAATGATGTGGCAATAACTATGTGAAAAGAGGCACAGGAACAGAAAGGGCATGACCAGAGAGCTGCAAAGGGACTTGGAGACACAGAAAGCTGCTGGTGGGTTCGCATTTGCAACACTTGCCCAGAATCCTCCCCAGACAACAGGTTGCTGTTTGTTGTCTTGAAAGCTGTGTGTGTGATGGGATGATTCAGGGTGTGTGAGGCAGGCTGTCCTACCACAGGGCCACCCTTGCAAGGGTCAGGGCTGTGAGCAGAGTTAGGAGCTTCTGGTCACTCCATGGCACAGTGGATTTTGTTTGTAGTCTCTGGCCTGCTTCTGTTTGGAAAATGAAGTTTCATTGCATAGCATACAGGAGGAAGGCCAAGTGGATACCATGCCAGGAACAATTCCAGGACATTCCTTTCCAACCTCATGCACTGGGCTGCAGCAGGCAGTTCTGCAGAATTTAAACAGGGGGGTTGGCTCCCCTTCCTGTCTGATCAGTAGGCCCTGCCGCGGTTTCTTCCCTCTCACTTGTGCCTGCTGAAACATCTGGTGCATTTTCACCTGCAATCGTGTAGCAAAGAGCTATGCAGCAGCCTCTGAGTGAGATAGCAAGGGACTGGGCCTGGGACAGAGCTGGGTGGTCAACGATGTTGACAGACTAAAATGATGATGGAGAGGGTCCTAGGACTTTGGGCTGAGAATGAACCTTCTCAGGCAGCATGGAGTGCAGCCCCTTCCTGGCTAAAGGGAGGAGTAGCCACCCCCTGCTAAGCTCCTAAGTTCTGAGGGACTTAAAATACACAATAACCAGATTTGTCCCCTAAAATACTAGTTTCCTTTAAAGTCTACACATGAAGGAGCTGTGCTGAGAAGCCCAAGTTCTGATCTGGGGAGCCACCTATGACAGGTGACCCCTAAACCATGGAGCAGTTCCCAAGCTCTGCCTATCTCTGAATCTAGATCAAGAGGCTGTGGGCCCACCCATTTGGAAACAAGGGATGGTGGGATTCTTATTAGCTCTAGTAAGTCTCTCCTAATATCTGCTGTTGCTTCGTGATTCCATTCTTCAACATTTGAGGAACCAGGACCTCAGTATAGACAGTTACAACAGGGCCCAGAGAGGAAGATGTTACAGGATACCAGGCAAGTTGCTGTTTCCCACCCACGATGGGCACAGATTCAGAGCTGCCCACAGGCTGGCAATCGGCACAGGTCACGCACCAGCTGCGGGCAGGGCCAAGTCATGGAGACCAGCTACACCCTTGGGAAGCATCACCACCTTGCAGCCAGGGCATCGGAACTGTACTTTTATTGTAACATGTTCCATCACTTTCAGAACATCACTGCGACTAGAAACTCGTACGCAAGGGTGATATTTGTAACTAGAGAGTAAATAAAATGTAATAGAGAATGGAATTGAAATAGTAGGTATACCTTACATATATACACGGTGATGCCCCACAGGTACAAAAGTCATGCTCTGCCAACACTCTTGTCTACACACAGGCCTGCGGGCTGCTGCACTCCAGAAAGTGTCTCCAAGGATTTACATGTGGCCCGTGACTGGCAGGGCTTTCCGGAGAGCTCACGTCAGAGTAACGCACTACACAACTGGGAGGAAAAAGTATCACAGAGCAGTTTTTAAAAATATTTAATACGTTTTTTTGTTCTACAAAGAATGAGCATTTCTTAAATATTACAAACAGTGAAACATATATACTAGCTTACAGGTATGTACAATTTACTACTTTATACCTCAAAAATGCAGGAAGATAAATTATATAATATATATATAATTTTAGATATAATGAACAATTTGCTATTGCTCCGTGTTGGTCTTGCTGCAATGTATGCAGGCCCATGGCTTGTCGCTGGGTGGAGGGGGCGGCAGGGACAGAGTGCAACTTGGGGAGCTCCACACTTAACCCCACCACACCATCTTCAAAGCAGTATTTTGAGTTGGGAACTTTCTAGGGCTGGATTAAAAACTTCTGTGCCCATGTGCAATGTAGGTTGTGTCTTCAAGAACTCAAATCCTGTATTCGGGGCAGAACCAAATAAAAACTGAAAGCCATCTCACCCAGCATTATGCACTAATGCCTCAAGCCCTGAGTCAGTTGGGGAGCCCTAAAGATGATGCTGAAAGAACCATTGGTATCCTCCATGCAGTTCACAGGAAACATCTCAGAGAGGAGCATGGGGTGGAGGTCCTTCTGGCTTTCCCAATCCTCTAAACTCATGTATGAAACATGAAGCAACCAAATTTATCCTGAATGAGATCAGACACTCAGGCATGACAGCTTCTCATATTGATAAAGCCCTAAATAGTTACACGTGTGGAAACTGCCTTCAAAGTCCTAAAGCAAATCATGGCTCTTGATCAGTGGGCATGGGATGTTCAGCAGGAAGCACTCACTATGCAGGCCTTACCAACCTTCCAGGCAGAGGTGAAGACCGGATCTTGCTATTAGAAGAGAACCCACTCTGTGTTGGCCATGAGGTTCTGCGGCCTCTTCCCCTTTGCTCACACCCAAATGGCAAGCCAATAATCTCTAAGAATATAAACAAGAGAGCAACAAATAGGAAGCGATGCTGCAGAAAAGCCAGCTGCTAGATCTCACGCAACATGGGTGCTCACAGGAGGGATTTCAAGAGAGCATGGTGCTGGCACAGGCTGAGCTCCAGCCGGCTCCACACCCAGCCCCTCCTTTCTCACTGCAAAAGTCCCTTTCCTACATGACTGTCCCCTTCCTGTGAAGTTGGGAAAGAGGCTGCCCTTGAGGGTTGAGGTGGGAAGAATTGTGGAGCCACAAGATGCTCCAAGGCCACCCACATTGTGCATCGCCAGGGCAAACAAGGTGCTGCTGAGGGACCACGCAAGGGAGCTAAGTTAGAAAGGGCTAGAGGGAGCCGGAATGTACTGAGCGCACGGTGTGCTCAGAGGCCCAAGCGTGGTTGCTGCAGAAGCCCTGTGTAGTGGAGGGGACAGTTAACACAATAGGCGCAAAAGATGATACGCACAACCACCCCAGCTTGGAAGCACAGCGCAGGGCTAGCACTTCTGCTCAACAGATGAAAGGCCCTGTCTTCAGGCCCATGTGGGACTGCATGCTTTCTCTGCCTGCCAGGTGGGCAACAGGAAGGATGGCAAAGAAGACAGTCCAATGGGCTGGCAGGCTGACCTCTGCCAACTGACAGAAGCCTCAGGCTCTGTTGGGGCGGGGGGGGGGAGACTCTGAAGAAGCAGAGCACAAGCAGACTCCACGGCCTGTGGTGGAGCACTGGGCCAAGCGGGCTCTGCCTAGGACAAAGCACCAAGCCTTCTGCAGCCACCACCATCTGCCACACCACGCACGAAAGCCAGCCTGGGCAGAATTAAGGATGTATTCACAATCATTAGAAGATAATTGTTTCTCAGGTAAACACTGCACTGAGCAACTCTTAAGAGGACACGTAGGATGGAATGTGCAAGAAAACTGGCTACTAATTCAGCACACTTCCAGGAGTGTATACCAGTATAGCCGGATCATCAAAAACACAGTGAACACATTGCTGTTTCAAAGTATTTCTTGAGGTGCAAAATATGGCATGTACATGTTCATGTCATTTAGAAAAATGCGTGTGCTTCTGGTTGTCAGATGGCCTTTGTTGGCTGCTACCCAGCTGGATACTGATCAAGTTATCTGAGACAAGAAACCTGTCTGAGAGGGGGGGAAAGTTTAAAAATAGCTACTTTATTTGTTTTTGTTTAAAAATATGAGGGCTAGAAGATACAGCCCTATCAGACCAAAGGAAAGAAACTTCACATTTCTAAAACCCTCAAAGTGTAACACACAAGAACATTATTGCGTTGTGTTAGAATGTTACGATACCAGTACTCAATAGTTGAAGAACTTCTGACACAAGAGCGCACTGTGTGTGAACTCATTGTTGCATGTGAAAGTAAGTGCTCTACTTGGCTGACAAGATGCGTGCTAACTAGATCTACAGGAGGTGACTCATCCCCTCAGGGCCAGGCAGGAGAACAGACAGGGCACACACATCCTTTGGGGAGGGTGTCCACCTAAAAACCTTGCGAGGGAACCACTCTGCTCACGTGGGACCAGCTGGCCTTCTCACCATCCCCACCCCCAAGATGCTACTGGCTTCTGAGCAGGGAGAGATGCTTGTGGTGGGGTTGGTGCCCGTAGCTCAGGGCTTACACATTCAACATGCATGTAGGTGACACACGTCCCCTCTGCTTGTCCTTCTTCCCAGGGTCCAGTCTTCCTAACTCCTAATGGCCAAAACTGCCTGCCAGCACAGTGGCTGGCACCTCTCTCCACAGGCCTCAGCTTTGCACTTCTTTTTCGCCCCCTGGCAGGTCTGTGGCTCTAGAGAAGGATGGCTGATGGTGGAGTGGCATGGACCACCCCATAGGGACATGAGGGTGCGCTCGGGCAGATGCAATGTGTCACACGTGGGCCTCAGACATGCTGCCCGGATGGGGAGGGTGCACTGGGGAGGGACGCGGCCAGGCGCAGCTGCCCCTCTGCGGTGCAGGGCGACCAGGGTCTTCACATGACCACGCACTTGCCCTTCAGCTTTTCTTTCCTTTTCTGTTGCTTGCTCTTCTTGCCGTCGATCTGGAGACTCACGGTCCTGCGCTTCTCCAGGTTTAGCAGCTCCTGGAACAGCTCCTTCACGTTGTGGTTGAGCTTGGCCGAGGTCTCCATGAAGGCGCACTTCCACGTGCGCGCCAATGCCTCGGCCTCGCTGCTCTGCACCTCGCGGCTGGGGCTCTCGTCGCACTTGTTGCCCACCAGCATGATGGGGATGCTGTCCACGTCCCCTTTGATCTCACAGATCTGCTCGTAGATGGGCTTGAGCTCCTCCAGAGACTGCCGGCTGGTGATGGAGTAGACCAGGATGAAGGCGTGGCCCTTGGATATGGACAGCCGCTGCATGGCGGGGAACTGGTGGCTGCCCGTGGTGTCGGTGATCTGCAGCGTGCAGATGCTCTTGTCACAGCTGATCACCTGCCGGTAGGTGTCCTCCACAGTGGGGATGTAGCTCTCCCGGAACGTGCCCTTCACAAACCTCAGGACTAGGGAGCTCTTGCCCACTCCCCCCGCCCCGAACACAGCCACTCTGTAGTCGTTGCTCTGCTCCGGCATGGTGAGAGTTCTGCGTGGCCACGGGAGATGCCTGGCGGGGGAAGCAGATGTTGAGAGAATCAATACTAATTTTCTAACAACATCACTCAGCTTTTGATAGCTTTTTTTAAACACAAGGTGATCAAGTTTGTTTTTGCTCTCCTGGCGTAAGAGCAATTCAGATTTCAATGACAAATCTCTGTAATCGTAAAGCAAACAAGTTTGGTCAATCCTCAGCTTCCCATGGAGCAGCAATGTACTCAGTGGCTAACTGGAGCCAATCTGTTGACCTTGACGCTGAGCACGCTGGCTCATCCAGACCCTACGCTGCTGAGGGAAAGGATGCAGGATGCAGAGCCCCAGTGAGGGAAACCGCCAACCCATCAGCCAACTCTCTCTCTGTCCCTCT